GCCACGTTCCTTGGAGCTAACAAAAGCTAAAGGGCTAAAGTTGAGGCACGTCCAACGAACCTCTGTTATCCATCTACGAGGCAGGACAGGTCTGTTGTCACACGTGTGCACTCCTGGTGATTAATGTGCAGTTGCGTGCTAAGCGTTGTTGTCTATTGCTCTGTTGTCTGGGTGGAATGAAATTTTACTGTACATAGACTCCAGTACTAGAGGTTATGGTAACCCTAACCGCACTGGAGCAACCAAAATCATTTTCCCAGAATGCATTACAGTGTAATAAAAAAATAGCGGCATCATTGTGACGTTATTTTTATTTATTTATACAAACTAAGCAGCCTAAGAGATTTGTACTGTCCTGTTTTAATAGCTGAAGTACAGTAGATAAGGTCTATTGTTCTCTAACTTGGGCTTGGTGGGTCACTGTGACCCAAGAGAAGATGAGGGGTTAATCATTTCAGCACACAATCAGAGTTTAATAGTGACAAGATCACGATAAAGTGAGACAGATGTCGGAAAAAAAAAGGTAAACAATAGTAAAACTGACTGACAGTTGATTTGGTTTCTAGATTACAAAGTGATAAAGGGTAAGAACTGAATAGGCTGCTATAGGTCTTTGTTTCTGGAAAGTTTCATCTTTTCTGTCCACACAGAGACACCAAAAACTGAAAAATCTTTTTGGGAAGTGAAAATGCAGCAGAAAAGCTCTGTTTAAAAAAAAAAAATCTAGAGTAGTGCAGAAAAGGTCTTCCATCAATCTTAATTTCTCCAAAAAGAAATCGTTCAGAGAGTTGTTTAGTTTAAAACCTTACTTTCAAATGCCTGATCGATCCTCCAAAAAATGTGCAATGTTAATGTAAAGCAGCTGTTAAATATACTGTAATTCAAGGGTTCCCAACTGTGTTCCTTGAGGAACACCGTCCTGCATGTTTTAATTGTTTCCCTGCTTTGACACACCTGATTTGAATGAACGGGTGATTAACAGGCTTCTGCAGAGCGTGAGGAAGTAATTCACTAAATCAGGTGTGTTGGAGCAGGGAAACAACTAAAACATGCAGGATGGTGTTCCTCAAGGACTAGTGTCTGGAACCACTGCGTGTAGTATATGGTTCACTATGATTAGCTAAAAAATATCTACCTGCATGAGTGTTCAGTGACTTTTCAGCAACCTCCATCAACCCAACCAATTCATCCTGAACCGAAGAACACCGTAAACCGTGGCGCTTTTTAATGAGCCGGCTTCATGTAGGTTGGAATGTAAACACCATGCTGAAACAGGTGTGAGACTGATTGGAAGAGCAGATAAACCTTGATGGCATTGTTGAAGTTTCAGCAGGTTTTCTTAGCGTTGACGCAGAGATGGCATAATTTATTTACTCAGAGAGACCAAAGATTGAGACGCTGGTTCAGTTCGTGTACCTCAATGCCGTACTGCTTGCGTATGGACGCCCTGAGGGCTGTGGTCATGGGGGGGATGAGTCCAAAAGCGTCCAGTAAAGGTAAACACAAACATTCTCCGGCATCCTTTGCCGTTTTACAGGCGAAGCAGGGAAAACACCAAAATGCAAAGCAACATGGGGAAACAAAAGTTATGAATTTTACCTTTGATAACATCCATCTGTGAGGTCAGACAGGTGTGAATTCACCATTGAGTCTAGTTGGAGATATTCTGTTGTCCTGAAGGTCTATAATTAGGTTCAGACCACATGCAGACCAGGAAGTCTAGTCTTTATTAATGTACAGATGAGATCAGAGGTTAACAGGTATTCTTGTCAGGAATGTTGGGCTTTTAATGATTGTTTTTGAAAAATTATTTGTGGAACAACTGTACAACCAGTACCACAAGCAGCAAAACAACCCCAGAGCATGACGCTTCCACCACCATGCTTGGCAGACAGAACTAGGTATAGAATCGAGGTTTGTAAGCACCATCTCAACTCCTGCAAACATAATTATTTTTCAGGGTGGAATGACTGTACAACACACAACTACACCCGTTTTTAAAAGCAAACCTTTGGTGCACAAGTTTGGTTTTACTGAGGATTTCCTCTAATCTACACCTGGTCAGATTTTTATATACAAGCTCAAAGATATACGTACATCAGTCTAAAGGGTCCTGCATACTCCATACCACCCTGAACACGTCCAATCTTGTCTGATCTCAGAAGCTAAGCAGGGTTGGGCCTGGTTAGTATTTGGATGGAAGACCGCCTGGGAATACCAGGTGCCGTAATGTGACCGAGCGGTCTTGCGTGACAAAAAATTGCATCATTTTGTTCTTAGAATAGCTTTGCCTTCAGAGTGGATTTACTGTGATAGTCCATAGGTCTCACCCCTAAGATATTATACCCTGATTCTAGGTGACACTCCTAGAAGCTAGTAACTTATCCCTAGGTGTCACATCTCGGAGACTCTAACTTGACCCAAGGTGTCACACCTAGGAAATTCTTACCTGACCCTAAGTGTTCACCCTAAGAGATTGTACTGTATCCTGATTCTGGGCATCACCTCTAGGAAACTTAGTAGTTAATTGTTGTTACTCCTACTGTAGAAGTTTCTAAAATGGCCCTAGGTATCATCCCAATAGAATTCAAACTTGGCCTTTAGTTGTCACCCCTACAATAGTCCAAGTTGACACTAGACACCAGCCCAATAAGATCCTAGTCCCCATTGTCCCTAGTGACACGAACAAGTGCAAAGTCTCAACGTTTTCCTGGGATGGACTAGTGACTAGTCCGGAGAATTCTCCACCTCTTGCCCAATGGCTGCTATATTTAGACACAAACTCCTTGCAACCCTGCACAAGATCAAGTGGGTCTAGAAAAAGGATGGATGGACAAAGCCCAAGACTCACGCCACTTAAAATCCTGCAGTGTGAACAACGGGACAGGTTAGAGGAGACATATGGAGTCCTTTCTGACCCAAGCTGACAAGGCCTCAGTAAAGTCAGTGGCATGGTTTGGAGATGAAGTGAGCAAGAAGTGAAATGAAGCTGGCTGAAGAATTCTGAGCTGAGATTGTTACGTAACTTTACTCAGAAAATCTGATTCTTTGAGTGAAGGAAATATTTTCAAGACTAGACGCACCTAAACCAAATTCTCCGGTCTCGTGTTTCTAATGGTTGTCCTCTGGTTCTTAGTGAGTTTAGACACCAAAACACGTGTCCCCAAGTTCCAAAAAAGTGTTTTATGCAACATGCCCCCTCCAAAAATGGAAGATGTTACAAAAGTTCTTCATTTAAAGGGTTTCTGTTGTGTATTTTATTAATGCTAAAACAACAAGCAGATGACGTAGCCTAATAAAACTTGTTTCGGCTGCTCCATTCTTCAGGGGTCACCGCAGTACGCGATCTAACACTGGATGTCCTTCCTGATGGAACATGGACTCGAACCCGCAACCTCAGGATTACGAGAGCTGTTGTATTAATGTTCTCAAATGTTATTATGCTGGTTCATCCCACATAAAATGACCTCTCAGTGACCCCGAGGTGACTGTGGATTATAGGAGGCGCAGATGACTGCCAACTAATTAAATTGTTTTTTTTTTTATTTAACCTTCATTTAGTCCCACTGAGTCACCAGGATTCATTTTCAAGCGAGACCCGTTTGGGAGCAGATGGTGGGGGTTGAGGGTCTTGCTCAAGGGGAGGCAGGTGTGGGTGTTTCACCGTTTCCCCCCACTTTTGATGTCCTGGGAGATGAACCAGCAACCTTCTGATCACCTTCTCTAACCTCTGCGCCACCAACCCCCTTTTAGCTTCAGCTTGGCTAAATTTTTAGCTTTTAGCTACTGGATTGGCTATTGGCTATTAGCCACTGTTTTGCTAATTTTACGTTTTTGCTATATTTAGATTTTGGCTTTGATTTTTGCTCAGCTACTAATTACCAAATTTAACTTTTAGCTACATTTTTGCTAGTAGTATTTTTTTTAGCTGCTCTTAAGCAAATTTTTAGCATTTGGCCAGGATTTTTGACAAGTTTAGTTATTAGATTCAGTATTGCTCCTTTTAGCTTTTAGCTATACCATGTTTCTAGTTTTAGCTATGATTTAGGTCATTTTAGAATTTAAATACAGTTTTGGTCATGTTACCTTTAAAGAGTCTAGCTAAAACAAAAACAAACAAACAAAAAGGCTTTTAAAGGCCTGAAGGAACGCACACTGCCCTCTGCCTTTCATACCAGAGCTAAAGACTAAATCGTCTCACTGTACGTCGAGGGGTGACGAAGCTGTTGCTGTTCTGCTCAAACCTTGAAAATAACAAGAAGCACCACTGCAGACATGATGTGATTTGTTAGTGAAGACTCTCAGCTACTACCACACCCATTTTTAGCTCAATGTCTATAAAACTGGCTGAGTTAGAGCTATTTTTGTGTTGGGTGATTTCGATGAGCTGTGGTAGCCACCTTTAATTGGGTTGACCCCAAAAGCTAAACAGTTCTAGACGTGAACCCAACGATTATTTGCAGAGAGTTTCATTTAAACCTGTCCAGTGGTTTATTTTGCTAACAGACAGACAGGGTCAACGCCAAGAATCAATGCCAAAATTTGAAGCAGAGATTTTTCCCAATATGTATTGCTTAGAGTGCGTGTTGTGGAGGACTCTCAGCTACTGCCACGCCAAACTACAGCTCCAAATCTGCTAAATTAGCTGGGCTGTCGCCTGTTTGGTGTTTCCTAAAGTCGATTAGCTGTGGCAGCCATTTTGAAAGGGGTTGACTCCAAAATATTATCAGCTGTAGATGTTTATCCTGGGATTACTTTCTGCAAGTTTCAATTAAATTTGTCTTGTGGTTCGTTAGATATTTTGCTAACAGACAGACACTGATTTAGACAAAACCATTATTGCTCAGCTTTTACTTACTAGATTATTGTTAAAAATCTGGATAGTTATAAATGTTCACAACAATGAGATTATTACTCAAAATTAAACTATTAAAAAAAAAAAGACTTGTATTAAATGTGTTTTCCTCTGTGGGAGCAGCTGCAGGAGGTCCTGGCTCGGTCTAGATCAGGTGCGCCTCCTGCTGGGAGGTCAGAGCAGAATATCTGTGTGCGGAGGAGGAGGAGGAGGCGGCGTGGGATGCTGCTCTTCTCTTCAGCTCTCTGGAGATCTGGAGCCAGGACAGAGGGTAGCAGCAGCATCCGTACAGGCAGTCGCTCCACGCGCTCCCCTGCAGAACAGAACAGTTCAGGTGGGAGGCGCCGACACCAGGTGAGCATTTGCATTCAGGTGCAGAAAGTACAGCGTTATTGATTTTTACTCCTGCAGGCCAGAAATGAATTCATCTGTGGTGTCATATAAGCCTCCGCACTTGGATTTACAATGAAAACATCTGTAAAATGAGAAAAGCAGCAGAAACAAGAGTGAGAGGTTTAACGAGCTCGTTTGTTCATTATTATTATTATGTTATTGGTAATTCATTAGGCCAATAATTGTTTAATCGATAAAGCGTCCTGAGGTGATCCAGTTTTACCGAAGGGACGGTCACAGAACACGACAAACACTGTGAGTTATATAAAACATCCAAGTCAAGGTGGGAGGTGACACGAACCACCAGAATAATTCCTCCTCCCACAGTCGACCTCGTTTGATTCTGACGGACGAAGAAGAAAATCTGTTTTAGAACAAAAACAACAACAACCTTTGTACGTTTTGTGTACCTGTAACCGTGCGCAGCTCTAAATGTCTCTAACGATCAGTTTAAAACTCACTCCAGGGTGGAAAGCAGAATTTATTTAAACGTTGTTGCACAGGAAAAATAGACGAAGTTACTGAAAACTCTCGAAAACTGTTTTTACTCTTCACCTCTGATATGATGGAGCTCAGAAGTGGCCACAAATATAAATGTATTTTCTGTATCACTCTTCATCGATGAAGTCGGACAGGCTGAA